TTGACGATAAAACTTTGTTATTCATCAAGCTTGGCGCCTTTTTCATGATGCCATGCTCTTTTTTAGCAAATCTTTGGAGAAACCTAGATTTATACTAAGCCATTTAATTCTGCTTAGTAAATAATCCTCTAACAGAAAATTCCAAAATGAGCGAGATCATCGTCGTATTACGCACGTTTAGGTTGCATGGCTTTCCCGATGGCTGGCTTGTATTCATTTTGACGCATTGTTTATCATTACAAACATTTTCTCAAGACAAGCAATTTTTGTACATTTTTAAAATATTTTTGTACTTTTTATTCTCGAAATATTGTTAAAAATTGCCTCTTCTTTCTTTAAGTTTTGAAAAATATTGGAAGAGTTACATCAATCATTTTGTTTTTAATAATAATAATAATAATAATAATAATAATAATAATAATAATAATAATAATTCCTCCCCTATAATCCCCCATATAATCTGAATAAAAATATCCCCCCCATCTTCTGGGCAGGACGATCTCTTGGTCGGCAGTCGTCTTAAACTTGGTAAGTTGAACAAAATTACCCCTTGGAAGTCAACGATAAAACGCAAAAAAATATATATCTCAATGATTACAAACAAATTTTCATATCTGATCGGTCATCACTCGGGTCAACAAGGGCCGCGTACTTTAGAGAGGAACGAGTCTGGGGTCGAAAAATCTCTCACCGGAACAAACTATTCCAACAAAGAAGAGACACTTAGTTAATAAACGCGGATCAAGTGACACAATGCCAAATCAACTTTTAAAAAGAAAGACGAACGAAATGGTCACGCGAAGAGTATCCTTTTTCACAGCACTCGAGAATCGAAAAAGAACGCCACGAATCAGACATACCAAATATGGCGCACTATGGTAGGAAGTGAAATAAAACCTCATCTTAGCCCAAACATCATTGCCAATGTCCGCAGGGACATCGTGCGCGACAAAATACTCTCAAATGTAGAAATATATAAAAAGAAACTAGATATAAGACAAATTAAAATAACCCATCACTCAAACAGTAAAGAGATGAGAGTAGAAAAAAATAATATGACAGAGATCGAGGTAAAATCTAGAATAAATGAGATACGAAATAATGATCTCCCAGGAAATAAAACTCAAGAATATGCCTGTGACATAACCTGCAGTTATCCAGACGATGTCAGTGAAGATGACTCCAACTACTTTAGGGTAAAATTCCTTGAAATCCACAGAGGTGAACTCATCGAAGTGAAAAACCACAATGTTCTAGTGTAGAGTAGAGTAACTCTCACACAAATGTCAGAAAGAGACCAGATCCCCAAAATTCATATAGCAAAGTCCTATAAACAAAATGAGCAAGTATACAACTCTGCACTGGAAAAACTTAACGAATAAACCACTGAGAAACACCACAGAAGTTAACAATGTCATATACTCAACGACTTCAGCAGCTACTGGGAAGCTTGGAGTCAAGACAATGAAAAGAACAAACAACAGAGAAAGAAAGTCATGGCTTGGAAGGCAAAACTGGTGAGAGAAATAAAAGAAATCAGATATGAGATTTCGATACTGGATGAGCTCACAAGATACACAAATGTCACAACACGCAAATGCAAGAAAATCAAGCGGAAATATAAAATAAAATCGCTAAATGAAATTCCATCAATCAAGGAAATGCTAAAACAGAAACTGCAGTTAAAGGCACGGAACACAAGACGATACAAAAAACGTTGTAAGTTCTATCGTTAGAATAAAATATTCCAAACGAACTTGAAGAAATTTTACAGGGAAATTAGAAAAGAAGTTATATATGGCATAAAGCCACCCTCTATTGACAAATTGGAGAAATTTTGGGAGAATATTTGGAGCAGCTCAAAGTAATATAACTCCAATGCAGAATGGATCCAACGTGAAGAAAAGCAAACACTGAATAAACCTCTATAAGTGTGGAATAATTAACCACAAATGATGTTAGGCAAGCAGTAACGAAATCCCAAAAATGAAAATCCCCAGGTAATGACAAGGTGTCCAATTTCTGGCTCTATCATCTTTCATCAATCCTTGCACAAACTCTGTCAATTCTTATTAATAATCCCAATTAAATCCCGGAATGGATTACTGAAGGTATTACATATCTCTTGCCAAAAACAAGTGAAGTAGTCGACCCCGCAAAATAACATAACATTTCTGTCCACCACGTATAAACTGATCACGTCTGTTCTGACGAATCGTACTTAGTCTTTTTTTTTTAAACATTCTCCTACTGGGACAGAAGGGATGCCGGAGGGATTCAAATAGTTGCAAAGATTAACTCCTGATAAACAAAATGATCCTGGAAAATTGCAGAAGACGATGTAGAAAACATGGACAGATTACTGTATAGCCTTTGATAGTATACCACACTCTTAAATACGTAAGATTTTGGAAATGTACAAAGTCTCCCTCGTGATAGTAAATTTATTTAAACACAACATGGGAATTTGGAAAACCACATTATACCCAAATCACACCAGAGGAATGCCATCTCCAACCGACTCAGTATCCGACGAGAAATCTTTCTATGAGGATCGCTGTTAACCCCAATATTAAGTACCACTGAATGTTTTGACATTTGCCTGACACTAAACAGTGGAGGACAATAATGGCTAGGTGATGAGTGGGTCTATTTTTTCTTTATTTTTAAATGGAAATATTTAGGCAGACAAGACGACTTGGGAGTAACAACTACATACACTTTCAAACATGTAATCATTTCAGGCACATTTGGCTGTAATGCATGTTTCTGATATACACATATCCGACTGGGTGTCATTGTCAGTATATTGGCTTTCGTATACTTGTACCTCAGCGTCACTTTGTTCAAAGGCTCTCTCACTCAGTAATAATAAAAATAATAATAATAATAATAATAATAAGAAGAAGAAGAATACGAATAATAATAATAATAACCCATCAGTGGCTACGTAGTGCAGGGTTGAAAGCGGAAACTGAAGGTTTTATCCTTGCTGCGCAGGACCAATGCTTGCTAACTAGGAATTATCAAGCACATATACTAAAATATTGTGTCAGCCCAAAATGCAGATTCTGTGATAAATATCCAGAAACGATTGATCATCTTGTAGCAGGTTGTACGGTGTTGGCACCTACTGAATATAAAACCCGACATGACAGAGTGGGCCAATATCTGCACTGGAAAATCTGCAACTTCTACGGGAAGAAAACTGAAAGAAACTGGTATGAACACCACCCAGACCCGGTTACGGAGATAGGACCTGTTACAATTCTATGGGACTACACAATACACACTGACAGAACAATCAAGGCCAACCACCCAGATATTGTTATTAAAGACCACAAACAAAATCGGTGCCTCCTTATTGATATGGCAGTCCCTGCCGACTGCAATGTATCTTTGAAGATATTCAAAAAGTTGTCAAAGTACAAGGACCTTGAAATAGAAATCGCGAAAATGTGGCATATGGGAACATCAACAATCCCTGTTGTAGTTGGAGCCCTAGGACTGGTTGGAAAAGATTCCAGTAGACTAATTGAAGGGATACCTGGAAGTCCATGCCTCAAGGAGATACAGAAAATTGTTCTGACAAGTACAGCCCACACCTTACGAAGGGCTTTATCTATGTAATCTTTTTTTTTTTTTTTTTTTTGTCAGTGGAAAGTGTCATGACGCCATTTCTAACCTCAGGTCCCTGGGCGGGACCCGGAAAGAAATGTGTAAACGCCAGAAATTAAAGAAAATAATAATAATAATAATAATAATAATAAGAATAAGAAGAAGAAGAAGAAGAAGAAGAAGAAAAATAATAAGAATAATAAGAATAATACGAATAATAATAAGAAGAATAAAAATAAAGAGAATAATAAGAATAAGAATAATAATAAGAATAAGAATAAGAATAAGAGCAATAAGAATAATAAGAATAAGAATAAGAGCAATAATAATAATAAGAATAAGAATAAGAATACGAATAATAATAGGAATAAGAATAATAAGAATAATAAGAAGAATACGAATAATAATAATAATAAGTATAATAAGAATAATAAGATAGATAGATAGATAGATAGATAGATAGATAAAACTTGAATTTCTTCAAATTTTGTCTTATGATTAGGAATGTTTCAGCAGTAAAACTCAATGCAGGGAATTACGAAAAATAACAGAAGATATATAGCAGCCAGATCTTTATGTACAATTTATTTTAAAATATAGTTATTATATTAAAATATCTGTTTTTTTTTCTCTATTTCATAACCAGTACGAAATATGTTCGCTTTATTGCACGCTCTGGTTTTCATTAGTTTTAGTAGTTTTCAAGTCTACAGATATTTTCTTCAACAAACCGACTGAACAACATATTTTATGAACAACATATCAAAGCAGAATTTCGTGGCATTTAGATAAACACATTTAGTGCACACATCGTAAAAGATTACACATCTATGATTTTTACTTTAATTTTAGTGACTGGATAGACGTCACTTGGTTTATTGAAAGCATAATGGATTAGATTTCGTGTAGAATAACGGAAGTCAAAAAAGCCTAAACAATACACACGGATTATGTTAAGAAAGCAAATAATATGAAAAAATGTCACGGTAAAAGTATTTAGTAAAAACTAAATAACGTACAAAATAGAAATATTCCATCAGTGGCAAGAATGGAAGATCTTTAAAAAAATCAGAGAGAAAACTGGGAAAGAATCTGCGCATCAACATGATATAAAGATTCAATCTAAGTCAGAAAGACTGCCCCACAATATAAAAATACACCAAAACAGAACAAAATAGGTAAACAGAAAAGAACAATAAAAAGAAAGAAACAGTATATTAAATAGCAAAGACAACAAAAGAAAGAAAAAAAAGAAAGAATAGAAGGACAATAAAAAGAAGTTAAGAAAGAAAAGACAATAAAAGTAAGTAAGAAAGAAATAATGAATGAAAGTGTAATAAATAAAAAGAAAGGAGAAAGAACAATAAAAGAAAATGAAGAAATTAAAAGGAAAGAAGGAAATTAAGAAAGAAAGAATGAAAGGAAGAACAATGAAAGGGAAGAGAGAAAGAAAGAAAGACAGAAATCAAAAAAGAAAGAGAGAACGATAAAAGGAAAGAATGAAGGAAAGAATAATAAAAGCAAAGAATGGCAAAAGAAAGAAATGAAAATAAAATTATAAAGAAAAAGAAAAGGAAATAAAGCAGAGAAAGTAACAGAATACTAATGAAAAGAAAGAAAGAATGAAAGAAAAAAAGAGAGAAAGATAGTAAAAGGCAAATGATAAAGGAATTAGAAAAAAGAAAGAACAAAAAATACAAAATAAGTGGCGTGAGAAACATAATGAAATCCTAGACAATAAAAGGGAAATGATTAGAACCATAAACGAAAGTAGCAGAAAGAATGGCGAAGTGAAGAGAAACCTTAAAAGGTAAAAGTAAATGAAAATGGAAGTACTAACAAATATAAGAGAAGGATAATTTAAGGAAATAAGAAAAGAAAAAGAAATATCTGAAAATAAAAATGAAAATGAAAACAGAAAGAAAAAAGAAAATGAAGAAAAAATTCCAAAACATAAAAAAACAGAAATATGAAATGAAAAAGAAAGAATGATAAATGCGAAAGGGTGGGGAAAACAAGAAGAACAATGAATCTAAAAGTCAAAGTAGAAGGGGAACAGAATAAAAGAAGTGTAGATAAAAAGTTAAAAAGAAAGAAAAGGGAACATGAGAGGTAAATGAGGAGAAAAGTGGAAAGATGGAAAAGGCAAAGCAGAAAAGAAAATGGAAAAAAAAATAAAGAAAAAGGCAAAACAAAGGGAAAAAATAAAAATGGCGAAATAAGAGAAAAGGAAAAAGGAGGGGGAAAACAAAGAAAGAACAAAAAGGGAAGGGGAAGAAAGAAGGATGGGAAAAAAGAAGTGGAAATTTAAAAAAAAAAAAAGAAATAACGGAACGAACAGAAAAGAAGGAACAAAAAGAAAACGAACTGAAATGCAAACAAGAAAGAAACATAAAAACAATGAAATATCAGAAAAGGCAAACGAAAGATGGGGATGGATAGGAGAAAGATTGAAAAAGGCAAAAGAACAACTAACATGGAACGTAAAAGTTTAAATGAAAAAAGTAACAGACAAATCAAAAGTGAAAAAGAAAGGCAACATAAATATAAGAAAGAAATTAATGGAAAAAGAAAGATAAAGAAATTTAAATATTAATATAAGAAAAGTCAATCTGACAGATTAACAATGATAAATTTTTAAAAGACACTTTAGATTCTTCTGTAACAATATTCCCTATCTTTCAATCGCAATTCCCTCTCGATTACCTTTTTTTATATTGTGCTTTCATAAAATACGTAATCATTTTTATTATGCATGCGTAAACAATCTTTTATGCCTCCGAAATTATCAACCCGGCAACGAAGATTGTCCAAAATGATGTGTTAATCAGTCAAAAAATCAATATAGCAAACAATGAATATTCATATATTCAAAACCAATGATAGCATAGATAAAAAAATCAAGTTTGAAACAATATATTATTTAGCATAGATGCTAAAGGGTAGAGTTTAGTTAGTTTCTTCTCTGTGGAAAGTATTCTAATATTAAACTAATGTATTTCATAAAGAAATTTTCTTTTGTTAACACCTCATAATATTCATGTAACGCACTTCTCGCTTGTGAAACTCTCTTCGATTTTCTAGCTTTCCAGTCAAGTTCGATCCTCACATATTTAAATCCAGTGTCAATCGTTATCTTCCGTCTTTTTAATTTCTATTCTTCATTATCGCTCCTTAATAATGTCTTTCTTTTTCATATATTATTTCACGCCCAGAAGCGCCCCCAACTTTCGTATTAGTGGCTTTGTTGCTTTGTTTGGATGGAAATGATTAAAAAACAAAGCAAACACAATATATCTTCAATATAAATATGTAAATCGAATTACAGGTATTAATTCTCAGCAGGTGCAACACAAAGACAAATCGAAAAGTATATAATGTAAACGAAGGATTCTCATGTTTACTTAAAGTAATTTCAGAAACCACAGACGTTTATATTGTTGCCAAAGACTTCCGCACATGGATTTGGCTTGACTTAATTCCGAAGAGTGACATCTATTTTTAGACAATGAATGATCATTAATATCACATAAAAATGCCATGAATCACACCAGATGGGCTTGATGTCCTTATACAAATCGGCTAAAATAAGATGAGACTGTTTGAGAGTCAAAGAGAAATGGAGAGACCAGATGACAATATAGGTTTGTTATAAGCCAGTAACCCCCTGCTGTTGCAACGAATTCACAAGCACAAGATATGTTATACAGGACTGAGGTCTCGCAAATTATTACGAATTATTGATAGAATAATTGTCCTGCCGAAAGATCCTCAACTCCAAAGATTGATCAGTTGCTTCTTTACATCTTGTTTTCTTTAAACTAGTTGTTAGTTATCAACATAGATTGTTGATTTGTGTTCCGAAGAGAGATAAAGAAGTTACTACGTCTGCGAGGATTTCCTACGTGAATTAGAATTAGATTCACAACAACCCCTGGGTGAAATCACCGCAGATTCGAGTTACAACTCAGCTTCTTGATATGCACACGAGGAGGCCGAGAAGACCGAAATCACCTGTAAGTGAAGCTACCAAGAAAACTTCAGTTCTTGATAACGTTGGAAAAGGGAATGACAGATTGACCAAACGAAATGAAACGAAACGAGAGAGTGCAAAGCTGTTGGGTTATTATTAGTTTGTTCTGGAAAGGAGAACCGCTAAACGGAATATTGCTTTAGTGCCATAAAATCAGCGGCTGGCGATACGACAATCTAAAGTCTTGCCTAATTAAGCTGAAATGAAGCCGTATTTATAATTTAATTTCATTTTGCTGTCAATGCGTTCACTTCCATAATGAAAGATTCTTGTATATTTGTATAAGTAAATGGAAAAGATGTCAATCCTGACAAACAGTAGGGATCCAAACAAGACTACGGTCATATATAGCAATGGGAAACAGCTGAAAATACTGAAACCGAATAAGAGACATCATGCTAAATGATCCAAAACAGAAATAATGGCAGCAACTAAGAAGAATGTAAGAAAACTCTCAAGACTAAATCCCATATGAAGATAGAATATAATATCAGATTCAGAACAAAGCTGACATTTTAGATTAATACATTTTCTTGCATGCAAACCACTACGGAACACCCAGAGTCACATAACAACGCAGGGGACCCCCCCCAAAAAAAAGAACAAAAAAAAATAAGTAATTTAATCACCTCAGTCAGTCAGTTATGTGCCATGCGTGATAGAAGCTTAGGCGATCATGTATCTTTCGATACATGACTGACGAAGTAAATTTTTTCCGCAGTAGGTTGCCCTTTCTTTCAACGGTAGACCAGTTTACATCGAAGGCTATTTACCCATAGCTGGTTGGAGAGAAGAAGAGGATTCATACCTTTCCAAAAGTTATTAGCACGTAAGTAAATGTAATGGATTCGACTGGGATTCGAACTCGGTTCTCCAATTCCTCAATCCGAGCCGCTATCCATTACTCTCAACTGAAGATTTTGTCTTCCATCAGCATAGCTGATGTTAACCTACTGGATAGCATCTCACAGCGTTGTTCTTGGTTTCACGTTTGCCACTAACATGAGTAGTATTTCTTTTATTTTAACTTCACTTGCTTATTCTCACAATTCACAGACTGTTATTTTCTGGACATTAGTAAATATATAGTGAAAAAATAATATTAGTACTAATACTTTTAGTGTGTTTAAATAAATAGATACTTGAGGTGTGTTCTGGGAAATAACAAATAGTGAATATTAAATGACTACAGCATGAAAGCCGCTGTAGTCCGATTCGGCATGGAAGTTGCTATATTCAGTTTTTCCTAGGAAAATAGAATTTGAGTCATGCCAGGGATTCAATTTTAATGTTAACGTAGCGATTATATTGATTCTATTTCTAAGTCTACTACTAGGAAAATTGGTTCATCCTGTCGCGTCAGACAATTGTTATCGACAGAATCCATCTTGCACGTTTATAAATCTACCATTTGTCCGTGCATGGAATATTGCTGCCATATCTGATCTTGTGCTCCGAATATATATCTTGAGATCTTCGACAAAATCCAAAGAAGAGACGGTAATGAAGTGGAACCTGACCTAGCATTTCTTCTTCACTAAAATTCTCACCTCCCTCACGTGAATTCTATCTGTCTTTTCTATAAAGAACTTGCTTTAATTGAGCGCCCCTTGGTAGCATGACCGCATGAATTTAAGCGTACTACTTGATTGCAAATTATGTCTTTTCGTTTTGCTATTGAATCAGGACTAAAAATTGCGTTCAAGCATGAAATAGACTGTCGCCATTCGGTGTTAACGTCGGTGTCCAATCTCATATTTAAAAACACTTTATCCCTGATATTAAGTACTTTTCCCCATAAATATATTATACATTAAAAGTATAATTTTTTATAAGATATATATATATATATATATATATATTATCAGGTCATCTCATGTTCTGTCCGAATTTTAACTTTTTGTTAAAATGAACGAAATTTAAAGAGTATTCTATAATGTCTAATTTTATGTTTAGATGCATTTAAACTGATCAAATTTTATTTCAGAGAACAATAAAATTAAATTTTGTTTGATTAAAACCCTGCTAACATGGAAGTACCCAAGAATCATTTGAGGCACATAATGCTTTGTCTGAAAACAACCTCAAATCCTGAGCTGACATCTGCTCTTCTCTCCATTCTCGCCAACTTGTTTCAGATAATACAAAAGAACAGCAAAAATAAAAATAAAATTAAAAAAGGACAACATTATTGGCTTACTAAGCTCAATAATCTATTGTGTAACCTTTTTACTGCATTATTGCCTTTAATAATTTTTTTATAGTTCCTCACAAGATCACAAGACACACTGATATGTATTCTGCTCCATTCTTCCTTGGCAATAGCTTCTAGGTCCTCCGAATTTGAAGTACTTTTTTCTCTTACATTTCAAATATGTCCTTACATTTTCAATAGGATTTAGGTCAGAACTTTGTGTGGGGTACGCCAATACCTTAATTTTGCGGTCATCTAGATTTCGGGTCATTGTCACGTTGGAACGTCCATTTTGTTTTCTATTATTTTAAGAATAGCCAAATACTGCTCTTTATTCATGTTACTCTTTAATCTTTCTAGTTCTCCTGAACCAGAAGCCGCAAAACATTCCCAGAGCAGAATGTTCCCACAAACGTGGTTGTACCTAGGGTACAATGAAAGTGAATGAAGTTTGTGTGCTTCATTTACTTTCCTCCATACATAATGGAAGTACATGTAACCGAGTAAGTCTAGTTTGGTCTCAACCGACGATAAAACAGAGTTCCAATATTTACTCTCATGTTCTAAATGGCTTCTAACATCAGCTAATCTGAATTTTAGATGTTTAGCCTTAAGCATGGTGTTTTCCTTGGGTGACGAGCTCGAAGCCCTCCTTGATGAAAGCATCTAGTAAATGTCTTCGTCGATATATTCAACTCTGATCTCTTTTCATTACTGATGTCCTTTGTCATTAAGTGAGTATTCTTCGAGACATCTCTAACAATCTTCCTTTCTATTCTCTCAGAAATTAACCGTTATTTTTTCAGTCCTTAATTTATTCTGAACACAATGTCTCGTAGTTCTTGATAATAATACGAATTGACGATCTAGGAACATTTATATGATTGGAAAGAGTTGTATATTCTCACCTTGTTTTTACGCATCAAATATTTTATTCAGAGCTTCTTGTCAAGTTCAGTCGTCTACACCCTGGTAGCAGAACGAAGGATTTATGACGATGCATGGCACTCAGATAATAGGCTTCTCCATTAACTTTTAAAATGTTTTAGAATCATATAAATACTATTTAATTTTCAAATGGTGTTTGTATTAAATTCCAAATTACGAAAGAAACATTAAAATTACTTAACAGCAATATTATTTCATAATTTCCATAACGCAACGAA